AATAATAATATTAAAATAGCGGGCCAAATCGGCTGCCAGGCCACCGGGAATTGTCCCGGTTCTCCCGATGGCCAGTCCGCGCCTGATTTCCACAGACACGCAGAACGTGCAGGATTCATATAGTCTTTTCGCGGCTTAATATTTTACAGACACTAGTCCATATCGCGTTTTGATTCAAGTGTACTGACCTACTTTTGATTTATTCGTCCAAAATGTGGCATATTCCGTCCGCGTTAGGCTATAGGAATTCCGTTTTTATGACTGGATTCTACGAACCAGTCTGTGTTTTCCGCATCGCGGAAATTATAGGGCCGTATGTCTCATAGTCAGTGCAATTTGGGAAAGAAATCAATTAAATCTGTATGTGGATGTGTGTAAACATTCAAATGTAATCCCCTTTGTAATCGTTAACATTTTCATAAGTAACTGTAATTTAATTACACATTTTTTCTTAGTAACTGTAACTGATTACAGTTACATCTATTTTGTAATTAAATTACGTAACGCCGTTACATGTAACAAGTTACTCCCCAACACTGGTGGGCACTCATGCAACGTAATCAATGATGTACATCCAAGTAAATGAGATGGAGGGAAGTTTGCGAGTGAAGGGCATAAGAAATCGACTGGAACGTAACCCTTAAAGACATATTTAACCCTCTGGTGCTCCTCATTTGGGAGTCACACTTGTGGTCTTCACGGTCAAAAGTGACCAGACACTTAAAATGTAATTTATTTTTTCGCCCCAGTAAAATCAATGTAATATATTTTTGTTCAATAATATTTTTTCTTTTGTATTTTGAGATAATTTCATTGTACTATTTCATATTTATGCAATAATTATGATCAATTTCTGCCCATTGAAAATAATACATATTAATAATATATATATATATATTATATATATTATAAAAATATAATATATATTTTTATATTACTTTTCAAATAATGCAGCATTTCATGTTAAAATCGAGTCAATGCCTTTAAAAATCCAATTTTTAAGCCATATTAGTGCTATCTGGTGGGAAGAAAAACATCTGCAATTCCACGATTTAGCCCATAGATTCCTATATAGCGCTATATAAATTCTATAAATTCTCTAATTGTTTTCAGACATAAATACTTATTTTTATTAAGTTGTGGGTTTGGATATATATTTAGACACTCTCAAAGACAACTGTTTTTAAAGGTTTAGATTTTTTTCGGTTTGAAATTTTGATTTGAAGCGTCATCAATAGCCTACTTTAAAGGGATAGTTTCTGGTCCCCATTATCTTCCATGGTATTTTTTTCATACTGTGGATGGAAGTCAATGGGGAGCTTATTTGATTACCGTCATTCTTCGAAAAATATCTTGTTTTGTGTTCAGCAGATGGAAAAAAAAATTATACAGGCTTGGAACAACTTCAGGGTGAGTAATGCCCGTCTGACACCTCATGAATTAAGCCCTGCTTTTCAATCGCCGATAGTTTTGTGGAAATCGCAGACAAATGCCTGAAATCTGAGGCAAATTTGTGCTCGTTCACATGAGTAACAATTGTGTAGTGTGCGTTATCAAAGATGTGATCAAACAGAAGCCTCAATGTGTTGCTGATGCCTGTGAGATATTTAGCATTCTAAATATCTTGACCTGTCGGTGACTCACAGTCCTGCAGTGTGAAATGTGCTTCGACTGGAAATGGCATCAGCAGCGACCTACAGCCAATGAGAGAGCACAATACAAAGCAAGGGAAAGATCAGGGGGCGGAGTCATAGATCTGAAACGTAACATCAGCACGCATGGCTTCTGCTTGCAATTGTTTCTCCTTCATATTTTAATTTTTAATTTTTAATTTTTCACTGCAAATTAGTGACAACTTGGATTGCAAGCTTTTTTCGGGCTACCATTTTTGACAGCAATAAATGCATTCTCGTGTGAGAACGTCTCTCACATTATCTTACGTTATTTCCGCTCAACTGCTGATGCCATATCATACACATATCAAAATTGCTTGGTTGAAGGTAACCCAATTTGGGTTGTTTTGCAACCCACTGATGGGAAAATATGGACAAACCCAACCATTTTCAATTCATTTTCAAGTCATTTTTCCAGTCATTTTCAATCTAGAATGTTAGGTTGTTCATTAAACCAAGCATATTAAATAAGTTGATGATAGTTTTGCTAGTTCATTAAAGGAATTCTGTCTTATTATTTACCTTATACATGGGTTAATATTTCTGGATTAATTTATATGTGACCCTGGACCACAAAACCAGTCATAAGGGTCAATTTCTCGAAATTGAGATTTATACATCATCTGAAATCTGAATAAATAAGCTTTCCATTGATATATGGTTTGAATCTAAGGGTGCAAAAAAATCACAATACTGAGAAAATCGCCTTTAAAGGTGTCCAAATGAAGTTCTTAGCAATGCATAATACTAATCAAAAATTAGGTTTTGATATATTTACGGTAGGAAATTTACAAAATATCTTCATGGAACATGATCTTTAATTAATATCCTAATGATTTTTGGCATAAAAGAAAAATCGATAATTTTGACCCATACAGTGTTTTTTTGGCTATTGCTAAAAATATACCCAAGCGACTGGTTTTGTGCTCCAGGATCACATATTTCTTAAAATTTTGTAAAATACACCACACAATCACTGTTTACACAATGCACCCTTTATTTTAGGATGAATACAATTCTAAATGCAGCATTTATTTTATTTTATTTTTATTTTGCATGTGTGCAATATTACCCACATTTAAACCTGTTTAACAAATAACATTTTAATTCATGTGTAATCAACCATTCTGTTATCCCTTTCCCCCGAAATGGGGAAACTTTTAATGCTTAAATAGTTTTAATATGACTTTAATGTCTAATATTACTTCAATTCTTGGGTATTTTTTATAATGAGCTACTCTTAACTTTACTTGAGTCAGTATCGTAAAGGTATCTTTACTTTTACTCGGATATGACGATTGGATCATTTATACAACATTGACTGTCTACAACATTTCTTTCCTTAACAAAATGCATAAGTTACATCTGACATGCATATAAGGAAACCAACTGAACATGGATCCTGGGTTATAAAGTGGCCATCAAACTACCTGTTTGGGGATGGAGTTTGATTGCTGTCAACCTAAATTTTCATCAAACACCTGAACCAAATGGGCCTTAATCACTTAACACCCTTTAGGTAGCACCTGTCTCAATGAGCTCATTTTACAGTCACGTCTTTGCCCATTTCAGAACTTTGAAACCCTTTGAGTATAAAGCCTTCATACACATCGTGGTTCTTGAACAGGGTTTTGCAGATTTGCTACAGGAACCGGGTTTTGGCTTGTGATAAAAAGATACAAAGATAATTGTTGTAGTTGAGGACTGATAGAGTATAAGAATTTAATTGTCTAAAATGGTGAGATAGCGGTTTGTTTTTGCACTGAAACCGGAGAACTGAATCACAAAAATGTGTAATATTTAAGTGTTATCATTTTGTTCTAGGAAAGAGCTATGCATTTCTAGATATTTTGAATGGATCTGTCTGATAATTACCTAACAGAACTGGCCAGAGTGTTTGTACTATTGCTGGGTTTTTTTTTTTTTTTTAGATGAATGCTCTTATAACCTGCCTTGCTGCTTGTCTGTTGCACGTGGTGCACAGTGCACCAACCTCTGTTTGTAAGTGTTTTTGTAATTTCCATGACTAATGTTGCATCATTGTGTATTGTGATGTTTCAAAATAACTCTCCCTTTTCATGTGCTGCTTCTTAGCTTGGTGCTATCATAGGCCTTCATGTAGTAAGTATTTTTTTTGCAAACTTTGAATTTATATAATACGTGTTTCACTGCTGTTAAAAATTAGAGCTTATACATCATTTGATGTTAATAACTAAGTGACGATGTGTTGAATTTTTTAATTTTTTTTCCTGCATCTCAGGTTATGTTGCTTGGCCTGTAATCGCAGAAAAATACTGTAATGGCACTCAACAGTCTCCAGTAGACATTGTAACCGCCAATGTGCAGGCTAATGCTAATCTGACTGCTTTCACCTTCACTGGCTATGATGACAATGCAACCTTAACTGAGATTGAAAACACTGGCACGATGAGTAAGTAGCGTGTTTCTATTTCAGCTTTTGTGTAAGGGGAAAAACTTGCTGACTGGGAACAGAATCCGTTTAATGTGTTGTGGTTTCACTCAGTTCAAGTTACACTTGATCACAAGAAAATGCATGTGGAAGGAGGAGATCTGCCAGGCCTGTTTGCCAGTACGCAGTTTCATCTTCACTGGGGTAATGGCAGCGCCACACCTGGATCTGAACATCGTGTGAATGGCAAACGATACCCTATGGAGGTATGAAAATCAAGTAACTAAAGCTTTTGGTTTATACTGGTCTTCTAGAAGGATTTGTGTGTTTCAGTTGCATATCATGAATAAGGCGGAGCGCAATGGCAGTGTGCCCAGTGATTCAGTATTGGCAGTTCTTGGTATCTTCATTGAGGTATGTCGCCTTTTTTTCTCTGATATTTGGAGAAATTGTTCAATTGACTGTTAAATGAAATCACCCACAGGCCTCTAATGACACTAGGAGACCAGAGAGCTGGAAGACTTTAACGTCTTATCTTGCAAAAATTGCCAGTGCAGGTTTGGACACGATCCTACAGTATTAGGAAAGTGGTTCTGTATGCAAATGTACAGAAGTTAATGGATTAAATGGGTTGCAGGTGATAAAACGCACGTTTCCGACAAGCTCACCATGGATGATCTGCTTTCTGGAGTGGACAGGACTAAGTATTACCGTTATCTTGGGTCTTTGACCACACCAAACTGTGATGAAGGTGTGATTTGGACCATCTTTAAAGACCCCATTAAAGTCAGCCGAGATTTGGTAAGTCTAGACAGTTTTCACAAATATTTAGGCCTAAATTCAAGATTTTCACTTAAATTGGATTAGTTTTAATAGGCTAAAACATAATGTGGTGCATCAGTCATGCATAGGATTTCATAAGACTTATGCAAGAGACTTAAGCTGATTGAATGCCATTTGAACAAATGAATCTTGAAAATTGATGCAAGTATAGTTCCACCAAATGGTTGTAATTTTTCAAATACATTATCCCCCGGTTTCACAGACAAGGCTTAAGACTAGTCCCAGACTAAAATGCATGTTTGAGCTGTCTGAACTGAAAATATCTTGCTCTGACATTTCTTAATGGCAGTGTCAAGCTGCACACCTGTGAAGTTTTCTTCCAAGGCATTTTTGTAAAAGTTGCTTAAATATCTTAATTTAACTAAGGTCTAGTCCTAGCTTAAGCTAAGTCCTGTTTGGAGTGAAGGATCAAAGTGGCTCTTTTGATTTCTCCCAATAGATTGATCTCTTCACTACGACGGTCTACATCAACAAAACCTCCAACTCTCCACTAATGACCAACACGTTCAGGGGTGTTCAGCCCATCAATGGCAGGGTTGTGATGTCACAGAGAGCAGGTACCAAAATTACTGGCCTCATAAAGCCAACATCAGGTACCAAAACTACCGGGTTTGTAGGTACCAAAACTACTGGCCTTATCAAGTCAACATCTGGTATCAAAACTACTAGAATTCTAAAGCCAACATCAACTGCAACAAACCTATCCCAGGCTTTAATTTTTCCTCTGAGTGTCATACTCCTGTACTGCATCCTACCTTTGTAAACCGGTTCACAAAATGCTGAGATTAAGATGGCTTTATGTGATTGTGAAATATTCAATTTAATGTTATAGATGGTTTAAAAAAAAAAAAAAA